CTTCTGCTGCCATAAGTATCTGGTTGCACGCTTTGACCAGATCGATTTTGGAGAATATGTTCATTCGGCATAACGTCTGAGTCAAGTCTTGAGCATGAGGTATCGGGTAGCAGTCCATTCTTGTTTTGGAGTTAAGTCTTCGGTTATCACCGGTCGGACGCCAGCCGTTGCTATCCTTTTTGGGAACCATGTTCAGTGGTTATGCCCAAGGACTGTTTGACGGTTTGATAATGCCCGGTTCGAGCATGTGGTCGAATTCACTCTTCACCGTTTTGAGCTTTCGGGTGCTAGACGGCGCACTTCGGATGCCACAGGTGAACCTGTGGTCGTGACATGATACATAACATTGCTGGTCATGCACGGAAGAGTATGCTTTGGTCGTTGTAACTCGAGATATTCCTCCAAAACTGGCTGGAGGAAGCGTCACCTGATTGTTTGGTTCTAACGATGGCCTACCTCCGACCTACGTAGCTGGTGCCGCCAATGGATAACTTTGTGTTGTTATCCATCAGACATCTACGGCGAGCATCTACGAGTGAATCGTAATGGTTTAGCAAATCTATGCCAATGATGGGCAGTGAAACGTCAGCCAGGAGGAAAATCCAGTGTATAGGTAGGCATATCGTCTCCCGAATGTCGCGATTGACTTGCCGTTGGCCGCTTGGAGATTGGAGGATGGGTCCAGATGACGCTTCTTTGTCGGTGCGGGAAGAAAGCTTACTTCTGCGTCGGTGTCGACGAGGTGGCGAACTTTCGTTCTGATATCCATGACGTAGAGCAAACAGCCGTTTCCACCGGCTACGGCTGCCGTGAACATGTGTCGGCGTGACCGTTTCCCGAGTTTGCGTCCTTGCTAAAACTGCATGGTTTCCAACATCTTCTGGCTTCGTCTCCGCAAGTATTACGAAACCAGCACCATTCCGGGTTTTCCACCCTGTCAGGTTAAGTTTTGGAGCAACGACGCGAGTTGCTGCGATGCTCTAAGACGCGTTTCTGTGAAGTGCTACGTGAACTAGGACTTCGAGATCGCAACAACTGTCTAACAAAGTCTCACAGCCTGGTCACTTCTGAATCCTGGCTCTCTGGTTTGTCCCAGACAGAATATACGTTGGAGATGGGTTAGCTAGAAATCTCCAGTATTTTATCTGCCGAGGCTGCCAGGTCATCGAGTGGGACTGACTGCAGTGTCACCAACACGGTTTGCACCGGTTGTGGTAGTTTCGAGAGAAGTAGCTCTCTGAAAAGGCCATTGTCAAACGTTCGTGCGCCGATTACTTCCGGCATGCGTGTGAGGACTTCAGTGGCTGAGTGGCTGCTTAGCTCGATGTTACGAGGTAATTCGTCTAGGCGCTGGTGATCTGTGAGATCGCTTTTCTTCAAGAGTGTGGCCTTGAGAAGTGCATAAGGATCACTTACTTCAGGATTAAACATGCGTGCCGTAACATGCCTGTTTAATTCCCTCGGTAGTGAACGTATGATGGCAAGAAATCGAGAATGAGGATCTGAGACACCCTGTTCTCTAAAATCTGCCTCGGCATACAGGAACCATGTTTCCTCATGGTGTGGCCAATATAGCAGAAGTTGAATCGTGTTCATAGTCGGCTTAATACGAATAAGCTTGGGAGTGTGGTCGGACATGAGAAAGTGTAGTAAATGGATAAATAATGCAATCGAAATGAAAACAATACAGAGATATATAATGGGACAGGCTCACCGACTCAGTATCTCTTGTTGGTCGGGATATGTGATCACGACGCAAAGACCAATCACTAATTATTCGGACTTGTTATATACCCACGAGTACGAGATCAAGGAAGAACACGATAGCGTAGTCGGATGGAATGGTATATTTGGATGGTTGTGCCGAGATACTGATGCGTCCCAACTAACTGGCTGGAGAGTCGAACACGAGCAATGCAACGTAATACGACAGCATGCCAAATGGCGAGGATGCTTGACCGTGTGCTTTCAGCTTAGCGAGTCCAGTTAAACTGCCAAGGTCAGCATCAATGTCGAAAGTCGTCAAACCCTAGGCTATTGATTTTGGGGAAGTGTCTGACGCTACAGCTCTGTAGGACTCTAGTGTCTCCCATGCAGTGAAAACTGATGATAACTCAAGTATAAATATAGGTGGGATTGTAGCGGCCAGAATCCAATAATCTTGGCCTGAACGCGGGAAATAACTAGACGGTGCCAACTGACGTGAATCTGACTAGCTCCTGCGTTCTACTGTATAGCTTCCTAACTTCCGCGAGTGACGCACAGTCAAAGGTTGGATCGAAATATCAAAACACGGTTTGTAGTAATTCAATAGTAGATTCGTAACAAAATCTGTGGTACCATCAAAGCAACAATAAGTTATGTCAAAATTACAAAAATATTTCAACAGTGCCGTTGGGTAACTATACAGTCCAAAACGTTCCCGGGTACAAATACGTACTACACGGTAAAAACTGGTTAAACAAATACAACTGTTAGGTACCTGTCGGTCAATAGGAATATTCCCGGCAAAAGGGATCAAAACTCTGCCTACAGGAATCAAATCAACAAACAAACGTTCCCGGTAGACAGTCAAATCACTGCACAACCGTAAGTTGAACCAAAACAAAATGTCGGGCGCAGTAAAACAACATCACCTTGTCAACAGTCCAGCGTCACATAATAGGAAAGTGAAACACTCATAATAAGTCTCAAACATACGAAGGCAAATACCGAGTGTAAAGTCAAATAAGACGGTTAAACAAGCAAATAACATTACACCGGCTAGGGTCAAAGGTACGCCATCCATAATGAGGGTAAAAATGTCAAAATGAATGTTAATACAATCAAATAAGGGTGATCGGGAGGGATTTTCAGATCAATTTTCCTTTACAGCGATCTCCCGCGAAGTATTAGTTTATAGATTAAATAGCTCTTAATTTGGAACAGTGAGAACTCCGTGTATCTGGCATTTCTTCCTCCGTTGCATAACCCGTATCATCGCAGTAGGGTAGCCGACATTTGGTGAGCGGCATACTCGCCTGACTCCAAATGACGTCCAAATCCACCTGGTTACATTACTGGAAACAGCTTGTTCTCAGTCACTGAGTCACATCAACAGTAAAGGTACACAGAATATCAAATGTTGAGCATGAATAAAGCTGAAAAAACGAGAATGCGCAATAAGTTTTGCTGTTTACAGACGGTATGTAAAATTATATTTAAATCCTGGTGTGGACCGATGATAAAACTTGGTATCAGTATCATACAGTGTCAGGCAGCAAGTAGTGATTGCTTAGGTCTATGTCATTAAGAACAAATTCATAGGTTTAAATAAAGTTAATGTTGTAACCCATGAATTCCTTGTATCATAGCGTGTGTTTGTTTTGGAATAGTCTGGTCAAAAAGGAGCCACACCCAATAAGATCGACCCTTTCAAATAAATTCTGGATCACTGTGTGAGTGGCAACAGCTTCCTATCAACGATCACTGGTAGCGACCGAAAGTATGTTCACTTACCCTTATATTTCAGAATCCCAGTGTCTGAAATAAGACTCACATCTGCTTCTTAATATTACTAGTAACACTCAATTTTCTACCGGCTTTTTTCACCCTTTGCTTATTCAAAGCTTCTCCTGTTCCTTGCACTACTTTCTAAACACTCAGTGCTTGCTTACGGGCATTTATAAAAGCAAGGATTGAAAAATAACAATTGATCCCATCACTAGCTTTGTTGCTGCTGCGGACAAAACACCCCACAATTTGTAAAAAAAACCCTTCAAATAGACAAACATTATGTCCGAACCTACCAGCAGGCAAACTAAAAAGACTCCTGTGACCACCGGAGAAGAATAACCAAGCATAATGGATCCAGGCTTGAGACCCAGAAGAGAAGGCTCAAGTACTATAAACTTCCTTCAATCACACTTCTAATGTTAAGTGTT